TTTCCATGTGCTTTAATTTCCCACAACTGCCATCTCAAGTGAATCTTGTCCTGAGGAACAGCAAAAAGAGGGGGGAAGATATATAGTGCACGAGAGCTGATCTTCCCCAGGGACATTTATCTCCCTTCACAGAGAAGCCAGTAGAACTCACTCCTGACCGTGGTACATTTGAGCTGGCCTGTTGCTTCCCAGCAGGGCATGTAATGACATTTCAGAGCATAGTCATCAAGTACCTATAAGCAAGGGAATCATTTTTTGTATCATATCATATCAGATTTAAGCGCTCACAATAGAGGGCAGCTTTCCAATAACAATACCACCACCTTGCCCTTGTTTGGCTCTTTGTATTGGTAGATCTCAAAGCTTTTTATAAAGGAGGTTGGTATCATCACTCCCATTTTCCAGATGGAAAAACTGAGGCACAGAGCAGTCATAAATCTGAACTCTCCAGTCCCAGGGCAGCACTCTAGTCACTGGACTATGTGGCTCAGCTCCCAGGTACTTGGGCAATTTAACCCCGCTTCCTTTAGGGCCAAGCTACCTTGAGCTAGTTTCCCTTTGCCATGGGATAAGAATGGGTGGACAGAGCCCTACTCTGTGTGAGCAGTTCTGCCCAAAATCCTCATTCTCTCCCATTTCATGGCAGTGTCATTGTTTTTCCATACCCTAACACAGGCACAAAGCCAAGGGCCTGCATGTGCAGTCAGGGAAACCCATCAACTCACACAGCTTGGTTCTGCCCTGTGAAGCACCTTGGGCAGCCTTCCATTGCCTGTAGCATCCTCTGCCATGTGAAGGATCTTAATTGCTCTCTCTCTTATGTCTCAGACCCCTTGACTATAGCAAGGTCAGTGGGTAAATGTGAGTCTTTAGACTAAAGACTCGCATGGTAGCAGCCATTAGTACCTTTCAGCATAACCGTCCCGAGATCCCTTCATCCCTCCATCAGCCAGCGGAGAAAAGCTCAGCAGACACTTGGACCATTCTCCGTGCTCAGAGATGAGGCTCTGCTTTAGCACTGACCTTCCCATGTATGATGCAGTCACCCCAGGTCCAGAGCATTCTGTCCTGCCTCTGGGCACCTCGTTTTCCATGTGCTGAGCCCAGGGCGGACATGCAACAGAGCCAAATGCATGGCAGCCTGCCCCTGCTAATCTGCAAGCTGTTCCCACCCCCGCAGTCTTGGAGACTGAAAACGATCTTTTTTATGTCAGAAATATTGGTCAACCTGAAACTTAAAAAAGAAACCAGCTTCACCAAGAGGCCCAAGAAAGCCAGCTGCAGTTTCCATCCTCTCCAAAGCTGTTCAGTTGTAAGAGGGGGGATGGAGCGGGGGATCTACTCAATACCACATAGATGCCTTTGAGTAACAGAGCATGCAAATGCATTACGAGTCAGAAAGCCTGTAGATGTGAATGTAGTGCAGCACCAAGTAGACCGAGCCTAGGATGTCCGTGGATGGATTAGCTTCACAGTGCTGCTATCTAAAGAATACCCACCTTGACAGGTAGTTGCATGGGACCCTACCTAGCTATTTATGGTACTGCTATTACTGTAGTGTCTACTAATAAAATTACATCTACTAATAAAATTCAATCCGTGCATCTCCCAACACCAAGCTGGTATTATCCCCATTTTTTTTCCAGATGGGAAACAGAGGAATTAAGGCCAACATACTCCAAAAAATTACGCACCTAACTCCGCTTTAGGCAAGTGATTCCCTTTGCCTAAATAATTTTGAGGATCTAGGTCAAAGTGACTTGCCAAGGTCACCCAGGGAGTCTATGGTGAAGCAGAGAGCTGAACCCAGGTGTCCTGGGTCCTAGGCTAGACTGGATTGGACATGTTTCCTTTCTGAAAGGCCTCTATTGGAAATGGAGACACCACTGGCTGAACATTACCTTCACCTCTCCACAAGCAGAGACCGCTCTGCTGCGCGGGATCTGAGTTAGCAGGGGTTACACTCCCCGTTTTCCACTGCAGCTGTTCTTCTGGCAGTGATAACCAAAGGGTGTTTCATCTCACGCATTCCTAGCATGCAACCCAGAGGAAGCAATATTGTCATCAGATGGACACTGATTAGTATGGGAAAGGTGGATGCCTGGCGGCTGCTCGTGACATTGCACACAGCTGCAGCTCAGGAAAGGTCCTGAATACTTATTCATCTGAGCACACTGGAATGCCACATTCAAGCAGTTGTCACCAAAGCCAAGTCAGTGGGTGGCTCCGTGGCAGCAGTTCTAAACCTGCTTTACATTCATACATCTCATTCATGTCTCCTTCGGAGCATGGTTCCTATAAAGTGCCTATTTTGAGCCAACAATACGATGTCCTTGAGCTGCATACGTGAAAAGCCAGGTCCAAATGTCCCAAACCCACCCCCCACCCTGAGACCCAGACTCAGAATTTGTACAAAGGCTTCTTTATTGAACCCAAACAACTCCTGAGAATCCTGTGAATGACTGCAATGTTGTATCCCACCACTATGATAAAGAAAATGCTTCTCTAGATGGCTGGGAAACAGAGGGCATGGCCTGTGGATCCAGTATTTTTCCTGGGCATCCCATCTGCCTTTGCAAATTCCTGTTCATGTGCTCAATCTCAAGTACCTGCTTGGTCTTCTTGACTTCAGTAGGGCCCTTACACTTTTATAGGGCAGGGTTTCCCTCTTGAAGGCCCTATGCAAAGATTTCATATCAGACCCCTCCCTATTCTTTACCAGACAATCATAGTAACAGCAGCCATGAAATCAGGCAGTTTCATAGCTGCTAATTCAGTGGGTGGCGGGGTGGGGTGGTGATCCCTGATCAACACAGGCCCCTGCCAGTTACATGCTTTGCACTGGCCTAATATCCCCCTGACCCTATGCTTAAAAGTAAGCACATCCCCACATCCTTTGGCCATCTGGCCAAATAATAATAATACTAATTTATAGCAATGAGGTGACTGGGGTGATTCCAAAATGTACTGCACCATTGGTGCTGATTGGGCTGTGTTTTCTCACGCATGCTGGGAAGAACAAGACTTATATGGTCACCTAATATCCTTAGTTATTTTGTTCAGGGTGTTAACTGGGATTATATATACACGGTCCTTGAATAGCCTTTGTTCCCTGGGGGATCTTCTGCCTTTGTTGGATATCCTGACTGCAATCAATAGCAGTTCCCTCCTCAAGCCTCATGTTGCTTCCCTGCATGTAACTTGCTGGGTAATGGACCCCAGGGATTGCCAGCTAGTATTTACCATCCCCAGAAGCTTCATTCAGACTGATGTGAATGCATGGGCATCTGGGATCTGAGCCTAGCTCAGCTGAAGCAGAGAGGTGTCAGTACAAACATGGAATGAGCTCCAGAGGATGCACAGCTACAAGGCATGGTCCCTGCAGGCTCTTTGCTGGTGTGGTAACCTACCCAGCCTCAGGCTTCCTTGGCCAAGGAGAGGATGCTGTGGGTCTGCAAAGGGTGATGGTCAAGGAGAGGATGCTGTGGGTCTGCAAAGGGGGAAGCTTTTCTGCCTCATGCAATCCTGAAGGGTTCCTCAAGTGTATTTTTACTGTAACACGTGGTCACAGTATTCAACCATTTCCATACTAGAGTCTCAGCCAAGGTAATAGTTCAGTGCTCACTGGTAGCTTACTCCTTGGACCTACCATGGTGCTCAACAAGGGTGGCGATACTGTACAGAGCCCTGGGGACAACAGTCCCATATTCAACCCCAGGAATAGTCAGTCAGGGTGGTGTCAGCATTTCCTTTATCCCTCGTCTTTCTCTGACTCGTCCAAACTCAAACTACCGCATATTTTGTCTGGGTGGTTTCAATGTTCTCCTGCCTTTAGAAAGTTGAGCAAACGGTCCTTGCTTTTCCCCTTGGAAGCCTCTCAGTGCCTGCATCCACCAGCCCACGGCTCTCATTCTCTTGCTCTCTTTATTCATTTCAACAATAATAACCGTGAGTCGGAAATGCGGAAAGGAAAAGCTGTGCAATGGTGTGTTTAATTCCTGTATCCTTTAAACACAGAGAGCTGCAAAGATGTCCTCTCTTCTAATTATCCCCAAGCTGAGGTTGTCACCTTCTCATAAGGCTTTGGTCCTGTGACGACAGGCAGAGAGACAGAGAGAGCAAAGAAACTTTAGCAGGGCATGTTTGCCTATCCTGAAGCCACTGGCAAGGCTCTTTTGCTGTGAAAGACTGAAAATCCTTGTTTTTGCAGGACTCTTGAACCCCCCGTGACTCTCATGGAAGCTGGGATTTGCTCAGACTATTTCCTGTTGTAAATGTACACAGGGCAGAGGGGTGGGAGGGGGGAGTCACTCTCCGTGCTGTAACCCAACTTGTTGTGCATGTGTTGTACAATAGTCTGTCTGATGTGTACCATGATCCCCCACATTGCCAATGCCATTATGGACACCTGTGCTGTACTGTTCCAGTAACAACCCCCCCACCCCCCCTTTTAACTTGTTGACTGCCCTGTTGGCCACCGTGATTGCTGTCATTCTGCTGTAGTAACTTAGACGGCGCCTGGATCCCACCGCAGATGACCACCGCTGGGCACCAGATGCTCATCAAAGACACTCGCCTGCAGGCTCCATCAGTGCTCCAACTGTGTTCATCCGCCAAACAGTAGCTGTGGACTATTTTTTTTAAACTCCATGATGTTTGCTACACCCTTCTCCACTGTACAGATTCCTCTTCTGGACGAGACTGCTCATGGGACTGTTTTGGGAGGGTTAAAGCCATTGGATAACTGCTCCTGAGGTGTGCGGAAAGGAGAAGCAATACTAGAATAGCTAATGGATGAGTGCAATAGCAGAGATGGGGTGGACCCACTGGCCTAGACTGGCCAGTTTCTTTTTAATGCTGTTACATTTCTCTGTGACCAAGGCAATACCAACCCCATTATGTCCTGTGCGCATGCGTCTACCTGTCAAGCAGTACTAGAGTCCTAATAAAGAGACCTGAGAGCTGAAATGCAGCTCTTGTACCTGATCCTGTCTCTGCTTCTCCTTTGTGCAAAACACAGTGCCTTGTATCTGGTTACCTGCCAAGCCCACTGCTCCAAACAGTGGCTGTCAGGGGCCCATATAAATAAGGGCCTTCATGGGTCTTAAGTCTGCTGTAGGATCTAAATTTTGTGCCAAAGTCCCCTGGACTCTGAGGCCAGGGTCTCAGGATTGGGGCCTTTGGGCTCCTCAGAACTTTTGGTGAGGCAGGCTGGGAACAGCTTCACTGAAACATTTACAGTTTGGACATATTCGACAGGAATTTCCCCACGTGATTGCAACTGGATTGTGCAATAAGCACTGGATGCGGCTTCTCAACTGCCCAGCCATGAAACGGCTAGCAACATGGCCTTTAAAAGACATCTTTTCAGGGGCATGGGGTTGTTCATGCTCTGAGCTGTGCCTGCAGGAAGAGGACAGCGCTAGTTTGGGGTGGAGTGAGCTGACACTTTCGATCGGCTTTTGTGCAGTCATAAAGGTGGTTGTTAACTGGTGAAGATTCACTGAAGGCAAAGGATCCCGGTGGATTTGCACCAGCCGTAGATGTGGCCTGTACTACTTTTATAGGATAGTTTAGGGAGTCTTTCAGCATAATTCTGCAGCTTAAAGATGGAGTTCAGCAGCAAAACCAATGCAACTACAAGGCGTGAGGGAACCCTACTTGTTCATTGCTCATTGTCTGATCACTGTTGCCATGTGTTTGATGGGTCTCCAGTTAAGCTCACAGGAAATATCTGGTGGAAATCATGGCAGAGAAAACACACACTGGGGACAAAGAGTCTGGTTAATGACTTACGGGCAAATACAATGGTGACCAGAACAAGAATGAGAGGGTTTCAGCCCATGGGAATCTTCCTGTGAGAACAGCCTTCCATGAGACTGAAAAGAAAGCAGTATAAAATACAGAATGATCAATGCTTTTTGTGGCTGATGGCCAAGCATCAATTAAAGATAAAACCTTTCTCCAAGGCATTGGGAGAAACTATCTATTTCCCACTCAGATGGAATAAAGCCATTTGCAAGCAGGGTTGGCTGAAAGCTGCACTGCTGGGTTTGTAATGATATTGAATGTATTGCTAAGTTCGTAATGATATTTAAACATCACGGCCTGATTCCAGCACTGCCGCAGTTTCGTTCTCAGATCAATGTGGAGCGGTTTCATTGTCTGGGGCTGAAAGCTGATCAGAGTCACTGCTCAAATGAATCAGGGCACCTGATCTTTGGTGACGCAGGATGACTGTGACACTGAGTGACTGACTGCGCTGCAGGGTGAGTCCAAGGACTCCGCAGTCCCGCTCTCCTGAAGCAGCCACGGAATAGTGGGATCAAAACCCCTGATGGGCCCAGGGAAGCAAACCCTGGTTGAGATGTTGGGGATAATCAAGTCACATCCATTTGCTGCAGAGCAGTCAAGGCCACTGCAGGACTGCGGGTGTGGACACAGGGCAAGTTTGCTCCAGTGTGTTCTCAGTGTACTCTGGAGGCATTGTGTGGACACAACGTACAGTGTTTATTGTAGAAAGATGCTATTCTCCAAGGCAAAGGTACTTCTGAGGAAGCCAGCAGTAAACCTCCAGTAGAGAAGATCACTCCATGTATGTGTCCTGGGTCTACTACCAAGCTCAAATTCACTCCAGAGGTACCTATGATGTAATTCTTGAAGGGCCTCATGAATTTTTTGGTCAGAAGCAAATTCCTTGAATTTCTTCAACCCTGGAATCACCAGGATCCTTGCAGATAAGATACATTTTGCTAGTCATCTGGGTGCAGTCATCCACACAGAATCGATGTGTGAAAATTAATGGCATGGTATGGCCTCTACTGTTTATGACACACTCATTCAGTGCACATCAGCTCTAGTCCCACCTCCTGGCCAGGCTCTGAAATAGCATCTACTACAAGCAGCTGGTTTATGAGAGCTGGCCATGGATCTGCCCCTTTCCATAGAGTCTAAAATTTACTGGGGAGTAAATTATGGGGTAAACAACTCCAGTGTAAATGTGCAATGTGTCTGCACCTCATGTGAAGCATGAGGAAGGACTCAACAAGTAAGATGAGTGGAGCAGACACTTCAAGGGTCTTGGCTACTAATTAGTGTGATAAGAGAGGATAAGAAACCTTCTGCCACAGAAGATCTCCACTGGCAGGCAGCAGTAGTAGGTTCGTTATGTACTCTGCCTGTCCTTAAGGAGCAGCATCAGCTACTCAGCCACACTCAGCCAGTGCGTTTTACTGTATCATTGAAACCTGTTCATTATTCAGCCTGTCGCTGAAGTGTCTTGTGAAAATTTCAGCGAGAAAATGAGGAGAAACTCAGGAACAGTCGTTCTGTTTTTTCATCATAGTTGAAACTTTGGAGGAAAAGTTGCGTCTTCACCCCAAAAATCAAGCACCGGAGAAATATTAACCAGCTTTAGTTTTCTGTTAGTAAACACGCCTCTCCAAGGTGCCCATCATCTTATATTTCCAGCCAGCCCCAAAATAGAGCTCTCAAAGTGGTAGGCGGACATGCCAGCTCGGGGAGGTGGGAGGAGACCGGCTATTTGGGGATTGGTGCAGAGAAAACAGATCTTTTGCAGTGTCTTGGCCAAAGCAGGAAATCCTGGTTGCCAAATGGCACTCTGCAGGGTGTCCTGCCCACTTGTGACACCTGCACATACATAAATATGCCCAACGACGCTGCACACACGTCTGCATCCAGCTGCTCGCACACAATTTGCTTATGTGCCCCTATACACAACACGCCCATATACACACAGTCCCCAGGACTGAAAATGGGTTTGGGCAGATGGCTGCTGAAACATGAGATCAGCAAATGATTGAAATGGGTTTTTCAAAGGCAGCCCGACAAGCATAGAGGA